ACTTTGATTTCACACTTAACCAGATCAATCATTAGAGCTACCCAATGCTTATGCTTCGTCAACATACAAGGGGCATACACCTTATACACGTTCTGCCAATCCACCCCACACGCCGGAACCTTGCCATTTACAACGTTCACTAAATTGTTTCTAATTTTCCACCCAGCCTGCTCTTTTTTTCTTTTATTATCCGCAAAGCAAGTATGGATGTGATTCTGTGAAATAGAAAACAATCAATGGTTAAACATCTCCACAAAGCAAGTATGGATAATTTGTAATTATGAACTGCACTTGGTCAAGCCCTATGACATACCATGAAAAATACATCGGTCGTTGTCCAGTTCGATATTTGTACAACCTCCAAATCTTGTTGTCGCTTCCGGATGAGATACAACCCCAAATCAATGTGCTGCACATGTTTTTCTGGTCAATCTCATAATCTATATACATTAAAACAAATGCATAATCAATTAAACTTACATCTCCTGTCAGCCAACCGTCAGCTTTTACGAGGGAAGCGAAGAATTCAATCTCAGCTTTCATGTGGCCAAATTGCATCACTAAACTGTGAATATAACAAAGTTTTAGATCACAACAATTTAAAAATATATACACTAATGTCTTCTATCTCAAAAAACAAGGGACTTACTTTGGGTTATGGCGCCATTCCCAACAAAGTTTCAGCACCATATCATCATGCGGAAGCGCCTTCATTGGGTCTAACATCCGAAGTCGGGTTGTCTCTAGCACAGTTTTTTTCACCAATTCACTAGCTTCAAGGATCTTCCACATAGGAATAATCATCTTCCTCTTTCGTAATTGGACCCCTTGTTCCACAGCTTTACCTTTATCATTCAACCAAACGTTCAACTCAGATAGCATAGCTGTAGGTTGATCCAAATCAATATCCCCGAGAGTAAACTCAACAGTTGTCCCCGACGTGCTCTCGCCAATGTCATCACAAACCAAAACAACTTCATCACCCTCTTCCTCACATTCCTTTATTTGCACTTCCTTTTCCTCACTTCTCTTTCTTTTCACTTCCTTGCCCTCCCTTCATTTTGTTTGCGGATCCTCTCCATCACTGCTTTTTCTTGGCAGTTCCCCTTTGTCACTGCTTTTTCGTTTCAGTTCCTCTCCCTCACTGTTTTTTCTTTTCACTTCCTCTCCCTCACTGCTCTTTCTTTGCGCTTCCTCTCCCTTGCTGCTTTTTATTTTCACTTGCTCTCCCTCACTTGTTTTCCTTTGCGCTTCCTCTACCTCACTTGGTTTTCTTTGCACTTCACCCCCTTCAATCCCCTCCTCGTCCTTTTCCTCTCCCTCATATCTGTTACTTGGCCCTTCATCCCATTCACTGTCATCCACTTCGTCAGATCCCTTATATAGATGTGAGATCGCACAACGATTCGTCCTCTCTTTCAGTAAAGCTAGGTCCCTCCTTACTTCCTGCTCAAACTGAGGACCTAAACAGTGGTCCAAAAGTTTTTCCATCCGTATGACCTTTAACTCAAGGACGTCATTTTCCCGCTTTACTTGAAACAACTTGGACCTCAACAAGCTTACCAGCTTGTTCAACTCATCAAGATCAGCACATGAAGAAGGAATTGACTCTGCCGAGACAACAGCAGGGCGATCCTGTGGCCAACTCCAATATGATTGTCTCATTTCCTCTTCACTCGGACGTAGCGCCCGCAACTGAACTGACTGTTTCAGAATACAGACAATATTCATATTCAATCATTCTACTTAATAATTTCATTGAATCTTATAAATAGTTTCAAGGGCTGCAAACCAAACCTCTTTGCTCTGGAAAAAATAATTGTTCAACTTCCTCATCTCGGGCATAGACGTAGTCGTTCTCCATCGCAAAATACGCGGGACAGCTGTTGGATCAACAACCTTGCAGTAATTCAGGTCCACCATTCTAGGAATTAATTCATATACCCAAATCTACACAATTCACAGGACAAAAGTCATTATTTAAGTTTTAAAGTTCACAAAGCATAACTGACATGAACATTATTACCATGTACCTGGAAAGCATACGTGAAACCTTTAAAACTCCACCCACCCCTTTGCACTTCACCATGCTTATGCTTCTTGCCCTTCTCATTTTTCCGGCTTGTTCCCGTTACCTTACTTTTCCCCTTCTCTCTTCCCTCTTCATTTTCAAAGCTTTTCATATACTTTGTTGGTGCAGAAAATAGACTGTCTTGGGTTTTGTCAAACGACACCGAACCCCACGGATACCTGTTGAACGCATCCAAGTCCTCTACAAGGGTCAGGTAATTTACATTGATGTTCAAATGCTTGTCCCTTCCCAAAACCACTAACTCAGCAAAGTAAACAAGAGCTAGCTTGTAGACGTCATCTCTCTCTTTGCACCTCATAAATGCTTCTTCTAAAGCATTACATGTAATTCCTTCGTCTATAAAATATCTTTTATGAAGTCTAATTTCAGCACTTTCTCCACTGGAAACTTCAGGCACTTCCCCAAAACGAAGCCCCGAGATCAAACAGAAATCCTGACGAGTAAACTGAGCAACGTCGC